ATATTCTGCCCAAAGCATCCTTGATTATAGCAACTCAAGGTTTGAATTTGTTCTTCAGTTCCTTGAGCTTAAGAAATGCTGAACGAATTCGACCCTTTTGATTTTCTGACTCCAGCTTCTTGCACATTTCATTGTAATATTTTGCTTTGTCATCCCGTGTTGCCTTTTGAAATCTTCTATTCAGCTCTTTAGTATCTTGAATTCTTCCTTGTGCTTTGGCTTCCCTGTGCTCCAGTGCAATTTTCAGAGTTTCTTCTGACATCCATTTTGGTCTTTTTTTTTCTCTTCTGTCTTTGTAATGACCATTTGTGTTCTTCCTGGATGATACATTTGACATCCTCCCACAACTCATCTGGTCTTCGCTCATTAGTGTTCAGGGCCTCAATCCTGTTCCTGAGATGGTTCTGAAATTCCGTTGGAATGAACTCACTCATAATTTGGTTCCCGCTTCCTTTAACATTAGTGATATATTCTTCAATTTGATTTCCCTGCTCAATTTTTTGTTTAGTTATGCCTCTTTATTTAGAAATCAATGATTTAATAGACAAAACCTAAGTCCTATATTTTTATAAATTTTACAAATTGAGGAACCTTTTGTGGCCTAATGGTAAGGAGCTTTACTTCTGTTGATTATAAAGGAAGACAGTTCTAATCTCCATGGGAGAAAGATGAGCAGTCTCCTTCCTTGCCTCTAAAAATCCCTCTGGAGTGTCAGCTATGAGATGATTCTGACTTGATGCTATACCACCACCAAAACATAAATTCACTGTTCTTTTATTCTCATTTTTGAAAATTAAAGTTGTAGAGGTTGTTTTGAGGTGATAAACAAGTTCAGAAATCTATTTTAAATCAAAATACATTTGGTTGCTATTTCGTGACTCCCGTGGGGAAAACCCAGATTGTCACTTATTCTGAGTAGCTCTGAAAGGAGATTATTAAAGAAATGTTTTACCTTTATCCTTTTGGCAGCTTTTATTTTCTGCCATGGTTTCCTTTAAATAATTGGACATTGAGTCAGTATTTGAAAGAGAAAATGATTGAGAAGATGGGCAGTTTCTTCCTGTGCAATTCCAACTGCCTCTCAGCGACATACAACATAAATAATCCCAGTCAATACTAATGCATTCTTTCCAATTAAACCTCAGATGTTTAACCTTTATAGTTTTAGCCGCTTTTATTTTGCTTGCAGGATTAGTGAAAATTATTAATGAAAATTATTTTGAGAGAAAACATTTAACCATGTCCCCTCCCAATATGGAAAACATGTTCTTGTTATATTTTCCTTGATTATTTGGGAAATAAGTTTTCTCTACAACCCAGAATGTTCTCCATTTCCCAAATTGATTCCTGAGGCTAATAGCCATTACTAGTAGCACTTGCTACTATTCCTAACAAAACAGGTTGGAAAATGCTCCTTTCCAGGTACAATTTAGACCAGTTTACACGCACTAGCCCCTTGCAAGAAGGTATTGCCACCTATGATATACACTGGATTTCTGTTTGCCCTTTTTCCAAGTTAGAAGTTTGTAACCATAGGATTAAAGAGTTTTAGAAGTATCCCACTGTGTTTGTACTTGGGAAGAAAATTAATTTCCTGTTCCCTTCCCTCTTTTCTAGACCCCAGTAAATGTTAATGTGTTGTTCTGAACATACATGTTGTAGTTGAGTTTTATTGAGTCAGAACTGACCCATAGCTGACTCTCCAGTGGATTTTCAGAGGCAATAAATTGCACAGAAGGAGATTACCCTGCCTCTGCCATGGAGGAACTGATGGATTCCAACACTGTGCCTTTGAGTTTGCAGTGCAGCTTCTTACCACTAGGCCACCAGAGTTCCCCTGAACATATATATAGTGGCTAAAATTACAGAAGGTAGGAGTGTATAGTGCCTGAAAATTGGCATGTATATGAATTGTCACAAATAGATGACATTATTTGCCCTAGATATTTAGACTCCAATTTATTTCCTCTAATACCAGTGGTATTAGATCTACAATGCAGTGGTATTAGACTTGAAGCACTTGCTGTAGGACTGTAGTCTACAATATGGATTGAAGCTCAACATCAAGAAGAGAAAGATTTTCACCGCTGGGCCAATTGGCAGCACCATATTAGATGGAGAAGAGAGTGAGGTTGTTAACAATTATAGCTTGCTCAGATCCACAATCAACACTCTTGGCACCAGCAGCTAGGAAATCAAAAGATGAATTACATTGGGAAAATCTGCTATCATGGACCTTTCCAGAGTGCTGAAGAGCAGCGATGTCACTCTAGATACAAAGGTGCTCCTAACCCAGGCTATGGTGTTCTCAATTACTTGTTATACTTCATAGAGTTGAACAGTGACTGAGGGTGACAGGATAAGAATGAATGCCTTCGAGTTGTGGTGCTAGAGAAGAGTGTTGAACATACCATGGACTGCCAAGAAAACAAATTAGGTCTGTCTTAAGAGAGTGAAACCAAGTCTCCCCTTGGAGACTTGGATTTTGAAGCTCCACCTCACTTGGGGCATGTGGCCAGGAGAGATCAATCAGTCCTTGGAGAAGGACATTAGGCTCAGAAAGGTAGACAGACAGCACAGGAGGAGACCCCAGATGAGAGGGATTGTTACAGTGCATGGGGCAATGGGAGAATTGATGTGTCAGAATTAGTGAGACTGGCTCAGGACAGGGAAGGGTTCAGAGCTGCTGTACATAGGGTCGCTATGCATCACAGTTATATTCTCTGACAGGTTTGGAAGCAGGAGTGGTAGATATCCACTTCCTAAATAGCATGCCTCCAGAAACTTCATGAACTTTGATAAATATCGATAGTTGTAAGAGGGGCTTCAGGCTTTTGTTCCTAGGGTCACTATGAGTTGTGCTTGACTCGAAGGCAGTCAGCAACAATTCCAGTGGTATTAGAGCTACAGATTGATCCATAATTAACACCATAATACCAGCTGTCAGGAAATCAGGAGATGTACTACATTGGGAATTGAGGAGCAGTAATGTCAGTTTAAGAAATAAGGTGTGTCTGATTCGGACCATGGCTTTTCTTATCATTTCCCTATGTATCTGAGAGCTGGATAGTGATTTGCAATGACAGAAGAATTGTTGATGTATTTGAGTAGTGATTTTGGAGAAGAGGCACTGAATATCCCTTGACCTACCAAAAGAGCAAATATCTCTTGGAGAAAGTGCAGCCAGAGTGCTCTTTGGAGACAAGGATTATAAAGCTTAGAACATGTTGCTAGAAGGGTGGAGGGTTGGCTAAAGAGAGGAAGATCCTCATTCAGGTGGATTGGCCTGGTGGCTGCTGCAGGGGGCTCTTGTGTGTCAGGAAGTGTAAGGATGGGACAGGGTTCGGATCCATTGTTCATAGGGTTGATATGAGTTGTACTCGACTCAATGGCCCCTAATAGCAGCAGTACCAGTGGTAAGGAATTGTATTGCTAACCCAAAGATACATGGTTCAAATTTGCCAACTTATCTGTGGAGGAAAGATATCCAGTCTCCTCTTGAGCAATTTACTACTTCTGAAAACCTGGAGTACCTTCTGACTCCACAGTACATAACAACAGCTATAGCAGTGCTGAGGAGCTATGCTACTATCTCAAAGGGACGCACTTCATATCCACCTGCTGCTCCATTTGATAAAGTTGGGCATTTTCCTCCTATGTGGTTAAAACTACTTCCGAAAGCCTACTGGAGGGTCAGCTCTGGGTCTATTCTGAGTCGACAGTATACAACAATGCCAGTCAATCCTAATAAAGTTTTTAATGTCAAACCTCAAAATCTTTATACTGCTCTGCTATAGTTTGGCCTGTAAGAGTAGGAAAAAGCAAACTATATGTCCAGTCTAGAATATAGAGTTCTATTTTCCAGAATATATTCCAAGTCATATAGTAGGACTGGCACCTTAGTAGGGTGGCCTCTGTGGACTGCCCACAGTCATGGTCTTTGAATAATAATTGATAATTTTTCATCTCAGATACAACCCTCTAATCAATAAGAGACAGGTTCCTGGCATGAAATACACAATGAAATTCTACATTTAAAACCCAGTCCTACAGAATAGGAAACATATTAAAAGAAATAGTGCTTCACTTGGAAGATTGCCGAGAGACAATAGTTGTTGGGTTTTCGGGTTTTTAAAAAAAGAAACAGTAGTTCACTTATTCATTGATATTCTAACTTAGGTTGTTAATAGGAATTCATACAAAGACATTAGTTGCATTTCTTGCCTCAGATAGGTATTTCTTGGCGGCCAAGTACTTATTAGTAGATCATAAATATAGCCATAGCTTCCCAGAGATTAGAGTGAATTTATAAATGTGAAGTTCTTCACATGAGAAAGGAGATTGTGACCTGAAAACTTTAGAGATTACCCAGGTAGGTGGTGTCGTACAGGTCATTCCTCTCCAAGGCACACCGTGGGAAGTTGGGGATTTTGTTTTGATGTCAAAAGATTCCTTTTTTGAGATTAATCAGAACTGACTTTGACAAGCACTGTGGCAGTTGGACAATTAAAACAGACATTCGGATGGCGGGGAAGAAGAACAAACTGGGGAGGAGGGTAGAGAGAATGGTGCGGCAATGAAGGAGTGAAAGCCCAGATTCCCTGTGATGTTCATTAAAACTAATAAAATTTAATAATAATAGTAATAAAAAAAAAAGATTCCTTTTTTTTTAACTCTGTCTAATAGTGTAACACACTATAGACTGTGCCGCCAGAGTACTTTTTTTTAAAAGAAAATATTTTTTATTTGAGTGAAAGTTTACGGAGCAAACTGGTTTCCAGCCAACAATTCCCTTTGTTTGGCAACATTGATTTTTAAATGATTGCTTTTTAAATTATACCTTTTGCCCCTTAATGATCGTATGAATTATGGGATTAAAATAAAGCCCTTTTCTAGGGAGCAGCCATGACTTTAAAAAAGCATGTTAGTTTTTGTCATCTGCAGTGTAAAAGAGGGTTGCCTGGGTGTTAAGCTGACTGTGTCCAGCCTCTCCACTTAGGTAACATGTACATGTTGCACACACCCTGACAGTGCACACAACCTACACTAAATGCTGTGAATTATATCTCATTGCATGATGTCGACATTCTGTAAATTATAGATTTCAAGGTTAGCAATATTCAAGATGTTTGTAATAGTTTTTTACTAAAAATGTGAACATTTTTCCCCCTAATAAAGCTGGACATGGTGTAGGTTTTTAAGAGATTGAGATTGTACACACCTTTAGTTTGCTTGGCTCCATAGTCAACAGTCTTGGCACCAGCAGCCAGGAAATTAAAAGGCGCATTGCCATGGGAAAGTCTGCTATTAGGGACCTCTCCAAAGTACTGAAAGGCAATGGTGTCTCTCTGGAGACTAAGGTGCATCTGATACAGGCCATGGTCTTCGCAATCACTTGTTATGCGTCAGAGAGTTGGACAATGACCAGGGAGGATAGAAGGAGAATCAATGCCTTTGAGCTGTGGTGCTGGAGAAGAGTATTGAGAATACCATGGACTGCTAGGAAAACAAACAGCTTTGTCCTGGAAAGGGTCAAACTGGGCGGCTCCTTGGAGGCAAGGATTCTGAGGCTCCGTCTAACATACTTTGGACATGTTGTAAGGAGGGACCGGTTCTTGGAGAGGGACATCATGCTTGGGAGGGTGGAGGGACAGCATAGGAGGGGAAGGCCCTCTATGAGGTGGATTGATTCAGTAGTGACTGGGACAATTGGAATGGGTGTATTGGAGTGGAGATGGTGCGATTGGCACAGGACAGAGTGGAGTTTAGGTCTGTTGTACATAGGGTCGCTATGAGTCGCAAGCAACTCGATGGCACATAACAACAACACTATGCTTAAAGCAGAGAAACAAACGAAAAAACCAGCCCCAAACCATTGCTACTGAAGGAGTTCCTACTCATAGTCACCCTGTAGGGTTGAGTCAAACTGGCCTACAGAGTTTCCAAGGCAGTAAATCTTTATGGAAGTGGACTGCCACATCTTTTCTCCCAGGCCACTTACTGTCTTTGAGGCCCCATTTTAATCACCTTCAAAATGGGGTCTTCTTGAGTGGCCTCTTTTTACAGGATGATTGTGAAAATTCAGTAATGATATTGTGAGTGCCTTAACTGCCTGAACATCGTTATATATAAGAGGTAGTGTCTTACGTGAATTCAGAACCATGTTATAAATAATAGTTCTAGAATGCCAAAGCCTTATTGACATATTTTGTTTACGTTCAGGAACCTACCTGAACTTGGATATACAGCCAGAGTGAAATTTAAGATTTAGATAAGCTTCACAAATCCAGACATGGGATTTTCCGGTTGTCATCAGGTGCCCAATCACCTGAAATAACTCTTGACCTTCCCAGACTCCCCTAAAGTATTTTTGGTTGCATTGCTACTTACTTTTAACAGGTAGTCCTTGAAAAAGTTATTCACGGGGGGAACATTTTGTCCTTGATTCTGTTCTTACCCTTCTATTTTAAAACACATTCTGGATATGATTGAGCTAATAGGCGGAATCTCCAAGAAGTTTTGCCCCGGTGGGAAATAGTCACAGGAGGTCGTCAGTTGCAGAGATAGTATCGTTAGTGATAGTTTGCATCTAAGCCCCCCATATACATCTTCAGGAAGCAGAATATTCACACCAAGTTATAGTTATCATTCAAATCCCCTTCATTGTTTTACAGTGGTCTGGCTTTTCCATTACATGGCTAGAACCCCCCTTTCTCATTTAGGACAGAAAGGAAATCTGCAGCGCTTCACAGTGTGGTGTGCATGTTTCTCTTGCTGCCACTGTCTGGAGTTGTTACTTCTGTTATGTATGACTGTTTTCTCCTCTTCTTGAACTGTTTGACTCCTACAGATCACATTGCACTCATCATAGAACTTCTGGGAAAGGTGCCTCGCAAGCTCATTGTGGCAGGAAAATATTCCAAGGAATTTTTCACCAAAAAAGGTAAAAAAATGCATTTGTTCCCTGACTTTAAGAGAACAAAAAGTGTTTTAAAATACAGAGGTAAGTAAAGTTGAATTCTTGCCTTCCAACATGTTGAGAAAACTGATCCTGCCATTGATGCTGCACTAGAGATGGAGATGGCATAATATGGTCAGATTGGAGTCAGACCTCCTGGGTTCAATCCCAGGCATCTGTTAACATACCTTTGACACGGTCTCGGTATTTTATTTTTCTTGTCTCTAATGGAGATATATGTGCTTCCTCTTGAATTAGATAATGTGTATAGTACCTGGTATTAGTTTGGTGATGATTATACTACTGCACTTTTAAGGGGTAAAAAATTTTTGTTAGTATTTGGTTTAAGAACTTCTTTGACCAAAGGCCAAATGAATTTTAGCATCTTCTTAAGAGCCAGGGACTCCAGCTTACTCAAGTTTGTATCCCACGTGGCAAACTGACGGAACACATTTAGTCATACAAAGAACTTTGATGTTTTCAGCTTGGTAAGTTCGTGTTATCTCTTATTAATGAAGAAAACAGAAACATATTTCTAAGTAAGTATTAAATGAACCTTTACATCTCAATATTTCATAATACAGATATATATTCCAAGTAGAACTTGGAATTTGAAATGTAGAAAAACTACTAACAGTTATCAAATAAATGCGTGTCTTATGAAAAAATTAGAAAATGTTTGCCTTAAAAAGCTAAAGTGTAATGCTGCTCTTTCTGAAAGCTACATAGTGTTTATTCTTAAGGTTTGTTTTTATCAAGTTTGCCATGGTGTTACTCATTATGATAATTCGTGTACTCTCAAGCTAAAAGAAGAAGAAAAAATACAAGTGTTTTATTAGTGTGTTTTGGGGTAGCACCTCTACACACCACAAGAGACCGTGTAAACATATAACCCTTTAGTAGATAATACCTAGTTCCTGATAGACCTCCTCAAAACAGAAGTCCCAGATTGATCTTAGGCTTGTCAGGTTGTCTTCTTTGCTTATTTTAAAGAGGAATACATTTTTCAAAAGGATCTTTCTAAAAGTAAAAAGTTTAATTCTTATGATAAAGTTTGATTCTTTGGATTAGTTCCTGGATTTCCACAAGAGGATCTAGTCACATGTTACTATGCTTTGGCCCTGTCTTCACCACAGGTGATTTGAAACACATCACAAAGCTGAAACCGTGGGGCCTTTTTGAAGTTCTAGTGGAGAAGTATGAGTGGTCCCGGGAAGAAGCAGCTGGATTCACAGATTTCTTACTGCCCATGTTGGAGCTGATCCCGGAGAAGAGAGCCACCGCGGCCGAGTGTCTCCAGCACCCCTGGCTCAGTTCTTAAGCCCCAGCCACACAGCAGCACAGCAGAGATCTCATGCTGACCCTCTTTACCTCCCTCCAAGCATTTCCCACCTCCCTCTTCAGGGTGAAGCTCTTCCTTCAAGGGTTTCTAGAGTTCTTTGTTTTGGTTTTTTTAAATCCAACACATTCATTTGGGTTTGCTTATTTGACTCTGTGGAATCCCACAGCCATTGGGCATCCTAGGTGAATTTGGCCTTAGCTGGGCTCTGCCAAAGACTAATAGACTGAAATGTGAAACAGCCTCTTGCCCTATATCCATGCCTTTTCATATGGACATTCTTTAAATTATAAGCATCATTTTTTTAAAAGCTATGAAGAACTATGAGCCCATCCTCTTAATCATTGACTCTAAGAGTCAGATTTTCTAGTTCCTGTCCAATTGCCAGCATGAGGATGAAAGGATGGGAGTGGGTGTTAATTCAGTGTACAGCAGAGACATTAAACTTGCTGTATCCAGGCTGCACCATCTTCCTGGATTATTTGTTCTCCATGTTCACAATTTCTTTTCCCTGCGACTCTTACCTTCGAAAATGGGCTGTCACTTGAAGACCAAGTTTGGGTTCCATTTTATCACTGTTTGAAGCACTATAAGATTCTTTTTATCCTCTAATAACTCAAAGATCCTTGTATCTTCAAGGATCTGATTAATCATAGAAGCAAAACAGAGCAATTGAGTAGCAGTTGTTTCAGACCACAGGCGTTATACAAGCAGTGATTTCCTGTATTCCATCTTTTGTCCTAGGAGCAGATTAGTAGGCTTTCTGGGTTTTGCTTTTTAACCCTGGCTGGCACTTTACTCCTTGCACTTAGTTTATTGCCCCTTAACTAAATAATTCAGGATGACTCTCAAAAGGAGATCTGGGTTTCAGAGCTTGCCCATTCTAAGAAAAGGGGCAAAAAAAAAAAAAAGGCCCAGAGCTCCTGACTTTTTCCTAAATAGTCCTTCGTTTATTTCTGGCTTTTTCTTTACCTTACCCAAGATTTTGGCCCTGAAGTTCTGTGACTTTCTTTGCCTTTCTCATTTTCTCAGAGGCTTGGGGTCTTAAATGGAACCCCTAGATGAAAGAACCAAGGGGAGGGGTGGGTGGAATAGTACTTTGGGGGAGGGGGTTAGTTTTTAAGATTATCCATTCTCTGCTGCTATTGTATGATATAAGTTTTAACCTCAATTTTGGAGATGATTGAGATGTGCTTGAAGCTTTTTTTTTTTTAAATGAGAAAAGCTTTGTAAATTTTATTTGATGATCCTCACTCCTAGACTTGCTCTTGGCATTACATATTTGTTGGATATTTGAAAAGCAAAAGTGGGACGGGATTAGGGTCACAGCCTCTTGTTCAGTTTGTTCAGCATGGACCAAGTGGACCTCGGGGATTACAGCATCTCCGGAAGTGGCTATGGAACTCTAATTTACAGAAAGCCAAGGAGGTGCTCTTGGGGCTCTACTAGCAAAGTTCCCAGGAAGACTGTTGGGTAGTCAATTTTTTACTTGAGAGATTGGAATCTAGTTTTTTGTTTATGAATCCACCAACAATGACAAAGGAAAAAGTGGTGCAATTATGCAATCCTTTTAACTCATAAACAGTACCCTGAGTAACTGGCCAGGCATTCATTGGATCCTTGATTGGGTACTCATGACATCAGACATGTTCCTGTAGAAAGAATTTTAAATCAAGCTGTCTATGCACCTATTAAGAGACTAGATTGTATCAAACAACGGCAGGGAAATTCTTCAGCAATCCTAATCCACCTTGGATTTTCAGCTGCATCTTCATCTAAAGCAATAGCATACAAGAATCTAATTCTCTTCTGCACTGTAAAATCATAGTCACGGAATTAGAAGAATTCTGGTGATATTAGGATAAAATAACGAAAACGAAAACCAGAAGGCCCTATTTTTTAACAAACAATTGACAAGAAAGGAAATTTTGATGAGAGTGATACCTCTAACTTCATTTTAGAAATGTTTCTGTACCACGTTAAGGGCTCTCTCCTTCCTATCATTTAAAGAGCCAGATGAATTTAGAGAACCTGCAAAGAAGCAGCTGTAGAGCTTGATCTATCCTGCGTACCTTTATTGAGCTTAATCACTGTAATTTCAAATTACCTTGATCTCACGAAAGGATTTGTATTTCCCTCAGTTAAAAATACATCCCGGAGTATTTTTATTCTTTCTACTGGGTGCATTGTCTGTTTCCTTTGTAAATGCAGTACAATAAACAAATTATTTAATAATCTGCAGTTTAGTGTTTTCTGTTCCAGTTGTTGCCTTAGTTGATGTGATCCAGAACTCAGTGGGTGGAAAGGATTGATTGAATAATCATTTTGTAGCTTTAATTTTGGGCAGGGTGAGAACAACGGTACATTTTGGAAAATTCTGAGGAATTTATCCCAACAACCTTTTCCCTTAACATTTGCAGGGTGTTTTGTTTTTCTTAGATTACAAAACTAGTGCAGTTGTCCCTGGGGCTCTTGGGTGGAGAGGGAGCAAGTATTGGTTCCATGACCCCTAGTGAAAGCAACACCCAAGGATGCTTCAAATCCCCTTTATAAAATGGCATAGTGTTTGCATATAACTTATGCACATCTTCCCATACTCTCCATATACACTGCCTTGGTAGAGATTTTATTTATTTTTTTTTTCCTATAATTATATTTTAATTTAATGCAGTGTAAATCATACTTTCCCTAGCTCCATTGTACGGACTACAACTACAGCTTTTGGACTCTTGAGTGCTTCATCTTTTATTTATTACAAATAATGTTGCAGTGAACACTGACGTTAAGTAGATTTGAACTTGTTTTCAAGTCTTGAGTTTATACCTAGGAAGTAGAATTACTGGGTCATATGATTTTGAAGAAAACTGGTGGCATAAATACTTCTACCAGCCACTCGGTGGGAGAGAGTTGACCAGTCTTCCATAAGGACTTAGAAACCTGATAGGCGGTTGTTAGGAGCTGAAATCAGCTCAACAGGAGTGGGTAATTTTTTTTTTTTTTAAGAAGTCGGTGTGTAGCAGCTACATTTTACAGTACTGCCAGCAATTAGATTTCCAGTTTCTCACATCCTTGCCAACACTTGTATTCTGTTTTTCTAACAGTAGCTACCCTAGGGATTCTGCATTTTACAAGTTTTTGTCAAGTTTGTGTTTATTTGCCTAATTTTATCAGCTGCTGATGTTACTATTTTTGTCATTTCCAATATATTTCCTAGTTTATTTTTCAGTTTTAATTGTGCTCATGAAGTCCTGTTCTCAATTTTTTTAGAAAAATGCAATACATAAGCTAGTAACATGTCTTTATTGTTGATCAAAAGAAAATTGATAGAGCAAGAGTTTACCAGAATAATAAACTAGGCAATACCACTAAGTCTGAATGTTAAATGTAGTCTGAGAATTATGAAAGTTTGAAAAACCTTAGTGCCATTTTAGGCAGACATCTAGCTGTCTGAACCAATACACTGGCATTACAACATCCCCACCTTTAACCTTTTCATTTACTAGGACTTAAGTGAATTTCTACTGGGAAACCATTCAGCTGCTCCGGAGCAGGTCCAAGTTATAAATGAATTTATTTATTGTTTTTTTAGTCTGTAGAGTCTCCGAGCTCTGCTGTCACACTAACAGGAAATATGTGGTTTACTGATTATAGAATCGGACTTGGTCTTTGCTAAAAAAAAAAAAAAAAAAAAAGACATTTTGATTCCAGAAAAGCTTAAACAATATTTTGCCAACTAAGGTGGTTGGTACCTTTGGAGTTGGCAGGGCACTGGTAACTAAACCATCTTTAGGATACTGATACATGACAGAGTCCTGGTGATAGTGTCAAACATTGGCTGCTAGCCAAATAAATGTTCTGTTGTTTGAATCCACCAGATGCTACTGGGAAAAGGATGGATAATGTCCCACAGCGATTGAGAGCCTCAGAAACCTGATCTTAGATGTGCACATTAACATGTATGTGAGTTAATAAGTAGGAATTTTTTTTTTTACATATTATGTCAGTGAAGACCTTTTTTTTAAAAAAGTAGCAATTTAAAAAAAGCAATTAAAACACTGCATGCTATTGTGCTTTAAATTCTTGTGTAATTGTCAACCCACTCCAAATTCTCCTGACAGCAAAGAAATATCCCTCTTTAGAGATCAAGGAAGTTGTTGACTTTTACACAAATGTACCTTAGTTCCACTTCTTGTACTCATGCTGACTCAGTTAAAGGGTGTAGAATTCCTCCATAGCATTTATTTGAATCAGATTTCCAAAAGCAGGCCTTTATTTTTGTCCCTGGGAGGGTTTGAACTACCAATCTTTTAACTTAGCTGCTGCTGTTATGTGCCCTTAAGTCAAAACTCACTCTGCTGACCACCACCACACCCCACCCCCAGCAGCTTTTCAGAGGCTGTAATCACAGGGAAGGAGACTGCCCATCTTTGGGCATGCTACCTATGGACTCGAACCACATGCTTTTGGGTTGGCAGCACAACTGACCACTTGGCCACAAGCATCACCCAGCAACCTTTGTAAAAGGTAGGAAAAACAGGTGTTCTATTTTATAGCTTCTCAAGTTCACTTTTTAATCTTATTTTCCCCCACCCTTTAGTCCTTAATTCAGGTCTAATTTCTGCACATTTTAGTACAGTAGCAAGCCTTGACCTCCAAATGGCAGGAATGGACTATGTTAAAAGTGTCTGCTGTCTGCAATTTGATAACTGCATTGTTGACTTTGTTGTTTGTTTTGGGTTTTGTCTTTTTATTTAACTAGATGAAGATGAGAGTTAAGTTGATGTTAGAAGTAAGTTTATTTAGTGGAGTTCCTGGCTGGTGCAGATGGCTAACTGCTGGGCTACTAACCAAAACATTGACAGTTCAAATTCACCTGAGACGATAGTTCTGGCAACCTCTAGAAACTTGGAAGCAGTTCTGCTGTGCACATGTAGGGACTACATGAGTTAGAATTAACTTGACGGCTGCTAACGATCATGGGT